TCATGAAGGGATGTTGAATCTTATCAAATGCTTTTTCGCCATCAATTGAGCCAATCTTATGGTTTTTGTCCTCTATTCTGTTGAAATGATGTATCCCATTGATTGATTTGTGTGTGTTGAACCGTCTTTGCATCTCTGGGATAAATCCCACTTGGTCATGATTAATGATTTTTAAAAATATGTTATTGAATTTGGTTTGCTAGTATTTTGTTGAGGATTTTTTTGCATCAATGTTCATCAGGGATATTGGCCTATACTTTTATTTTTTTGATGTGTCTTTGTCTGGTTTTGGTATCGGGATAATCTCAGCCTTGTAGAATGAGTTGAAAGTATTCCCTCCTCCTTTTATTTTTTGGAATAATTTGAATAGTATTGTTAATGGTTCTTTAGTTCTTTAAATGTTTGGTAAAATTCAACATTGAAACCATTGGGTCCTGGGCTTTTCTTTGATGGGAAACTGATTAGTATGGCTTTGATCTCATTACTTGCTATTGTCCTGTTCAAGTTTTGGATTTCTTCATGGCTCAATCTCAGTAGGTTGCATGTGTCTAGGAATTTGGCCATTTATTCTAGGGTTTCCAATTTATTGGCAATTTATTGGTAGGCTTTCCTGTTTATTAATAGCCTCTAATTTAAATCCTCTGAATTTCTGTGGTATAAGTTGTAATGTCTCTTTTTTCAGCTCTGATTTTTTATTTATTTGAATCTTTTCTCTCTTTTCTTAGGATAAAGATTGGTCACTTTTTTATTGTTTCAAAAACCAATTTCTGTTTCTTAGATCTTTTGTATTTTTTTAAAATTTCAATTTCATTTATTTTTGCTCTGGTCTTTATTATTTCTTTTCTTCTACTAATTTTGGGTTTGGTTTACTCTTGCTTTTCTATTTCTTTAAGATGCATTGTTAGGTTGTTTATTTGAAATCTTTCTACTTTTTTGATGTAGGTGATTATTGTTATAAACTTTCTTCTAGTACTACTTTTGCTATACCCCATAGGTTTTGGCATGCTGTGTTTCCATTTCCATTTGTTTCAAGAAATTTTAAAATTTTCTTCCTAGTTTCTTCATTAACCCACTGGTCATTCAGGAACGTACTGTTTAATTTCCATGTGTTGGTATAGTTTTCTAAATTTCTCTTTTTTTTGGTTTCTAGTTTTATTCCAGCATGGTCAGAGAAGATACTTGATATTGTTTCTTTTTTTTTCTTTTTTTTGAAATTTTAAGACCTGTTTTGTGGCCTAATATATATGGTCTATCCTTGAGAATGATCCAGGTGCTGAAGAGAAGAATGTGCATTCTGTAGCCATTGGATGAAATGTTCTATAAATATCTATTGGGTTCATTTGGTCTATAGTGCAGATTAAATCTGATGCTTCTTTGTTGATTTTCTGTCTAGATGATCTGTCCAACGCTGAAAGTGGGGTGCTGAAGCCTATTATTGTATTGAAGTCTATATCTCTCTTTAGCTCTGATAATATTTGCATTATATATCTGGGTGCTCCAATGTTGGGTGCATATGTATTTACAGTTGTTATATCCTTTTGCTGAATTGATTCCTTTATCATTATATGATGACCTTTAAAAAATCTCTTTTATAGTTTTTGTCTTGAAATCTGTTTGGTCTGATAAAAGTATAGCTAAACCTGCTCTTTTTTCAGTTTTCATTTGCATGGAGTATCTTTTACCATTCATCTTTTTATTCTCAGTCTATGTGTCTTTATCGGTGAAGCATGTTTCTTGTAGGCCATAGATCATTGAGTCTTCTTGTTTTATTCATTCAGCCACACTATGTCTTGATTGGAGAGTTTTGTTCATTTATATTCAATGTTATTATTGATAAGTAAGGACTTACTCCTGCTATTTTGTCATTTGTTTTCTCTTATTTTTGGTGATCTTCTTGTCCTTACTTCCTTCTTTCCTGTCTTCCTTTTAGTGAAGGTGATATTCTCAAATGGTGTGTTCTAATTTCACGCTTTTTATTTTTTATTTATCTGTTGCAATGTTTTTCGAGTTTACCATGAAGTTTGCAAATAATATCTTATAACCTGTTATTTTAAGCTGATGACAACTTAAAACTAATTGCATAAACAAACAAGCAAGCAAAGACAAAACTAATACAAATTCTACACTTTAACTTCCTCCCTCTGATTTTTTTTAACTTTTTGTTGTTTGTATCTTATTGTACTGCCTATGTCTTAAGAAGTTGTAGTTATTATTTTTGATAGGTTTATTTTTTAGTCTTTCTACTTAAGATATAAGTAGTTTACACACCGCAAGTACAGTGTTATAATATTTTGTGTTTTTCTGTGTACTTAACTGTGACCAGTTTTTTTCCTTCGGATGATTTATTGTTCATTAACATTCTCTTTTTTCATATTGAAGAACTACCTTCAGTGTTTCTTGTAGGACAGGTCTGCTCTTGATAAAATCCCTCAGTTTTTGTTTGTCTGGGAAAGTATTTCTTCTTCATGTTTGAAGGATATTTTCACCAGATATACTATTCTAGGGTAACAGTTTTTTCCTTCAGCACTTTAAATATGTCATGCCACTCTCTCCTGGCCTGTAAGGTTTCCACTGAGAAATCTGCTGCCAGGTATATTGGAACTCAATTATATGTTATTTGTTTCTTTTTTCTTGCTGCTTTAGGATTCTTTCTTTATCCTTGACCTTTGGGAATTTGATTATTAAATGCCTTGAGGTAGTTTTATTTGAATTAAATCTGCTTAGTGTTCTATAACCTTCTTGTACTTGAATATTGATATTTTCCTCTAGGTTTGGAAAGTTCTCTGTTATTATCATTTTGAATAAACTTTCTACCGCAGTCTCTCTCTCTACCTCTTCTTTGAGGCTAATAACTCTTAGATTTGCCCTTTTGAGGCTATTTTCTGATCTTTTGTGTTTGCTTCATTCTTTTTTCTTTTGTTTCCAATGTGTGTTTTCAAATAGACTGTCTTCAAACTCACTAATTCTTTCTTCTACTTTATCAATTCTGCTATTGGGAGACTGACGCATTCTTCAGTATGTTAATTGCATTGTTCAGCTCCAGAATTTCTTCTTGATTCTTTTAAGTTATTTCAACCTCTTTGTTAAATTTATCTGATAGTATTCTGAATTCCTTCTCTGTGTTATCTTGGATTTCACTGAGCTTCCTTGAAATAGCAGTTTTGAATTCTCTGTCTGAAAGGTCACATATCTCTATTTCTCCAGGATTGGTTCCTGGTATCTTATTTAGTTCATTTGGTGAGGTCATGTTTTCCTGGATGGTGTTGCTGCTTGTGGGTGTTTGTCAGTGTCTGGGCATTAAAGAGTTAGGTATTTATTGTAGTCTTCACAGTTTGGACTTGTTTGTACCCATCCTTCTTGGACAGGTTTTCCAAATATTCAGAGGGATTGGATGTTGTGATCTAAGTCTTTGGTCACTGCTGCCATATCTGCTTTAAAGGGTACCCCAAGCCCAATAATGCTGTAGCTCTTGCACTAGTAGAAGTACTGCCTTAGTGGTCTTGGGTAAGATCCAGAAGAATTCCCTGGATTACCAGGCAGAGACTCTTGTGCTCTTCCCTTACTTTCCCCAAAACAGAGTCTCTATCTCTGTGATGAGCTCCCTGGAGCTGGGAGAAGGGTGACATAAGTACCCGTTTAGCCACCACCATTGGGACTGCACTGGGTCAGACCCAAAGCCAGGACAGCAACTGGGCCTCACCCAAGGCATGCATTGACCACTGCTTGGCTAAAAAGGCCCAAGAATCCCTACAGTTAGCAGGTGGCATACTGAGCCAGGTTTGTGTCCTTTCCTTCAGGGCAGTGAAGGACCCTCCTGGCCCCAGGAGGGTCCAGAGATGCCATCCAAGAGCCAGGACTAGAGTCAGGAACCTACCTGGTGTTCTATTCAACTGTGGCTCAGCAGGCACCCAAGCCGCAAGCAGAGAATCCTTCCCACTCTTCCCTCTCCTTTCCTCAAGTACAGGGGTCTCTCCCGTGACCACTGCCACCCCAGACCTGTGGTAAATACTGCCTGGCTATGTTCAGTTGAGACCCAGGCTTCTTCAGTCAGCTTGTGGTGAATGCTGCCTGTACCTAGCCCCTCCCTTCTAGGCAGCAGGCTTCCCTCTGGCCCAGAGCAGGTCCAGAAATGCCATCAAGGAGCCAAAGTCTAGAACTGGGGACCCCAGGAGCCCATTTGATGCTCTACCCTACTTGGGCCTAGCTGTACCAGGTTCTTAGGATTTTCGGTTCTTATGAAGGTGCTTTTCTGTGTGGATAGATGTTTAATTTGGTGTTCCTGCAGGTGGGACGAATGCTGGAAGCTTCTATTCAGCCATCTTGCTCTGCCTCCCCCTCATTGTGTTTTCTTGTCTTTTTCTTTTTCTCTGAGATGGGGTCTTGCTCTGTCACCCAGACAAGAGTGTAGTGGTGTGATCACAGCTCACTGCAGCCTCCACCTCCTGGGCTCAAGTGATCCTCCCATCTCAGTCCCCCAAGCTGGGATCACAGGTGTGTGCCACCATGCCTGACTATTATTATTATTATTTTTTATTTTTATTTTTTGGAGACGGGGTCTTGCCATGTTGCCCAGGCTGGTGTTGGGATTATAGGTGTGAGCCACTGTGCCTGGGTCCATTGTGCCTTTCAATGACACATTTTAAAAAGTTTCCTGGCAGGTCCTTGGTTAAGGCTTCCTTCTGGGAGTTGCTCTTTCCATAAATCATGGTAAGGAGGTTGTGTCCTCTGAAGCTGAGCCCACCCTGGCCCTCCTGGGCATGCGGAGAGCAAAGCCTCCTCCCAGTTCCCTCAGGGCTGAGGGAGGGCTGGAGAGATGCATGTTTTAGAACAAGGGCATAGTCTGTCCCTTTGGGCTTCTCAGAAGGCCAGGATCACAGTGGCTGTTTTCTGGCCTCTGGGTCTCCCCTTGAGCTGAGGAGGAGGAGATGTGGCCACCTGGTTAGGCTTGGAGATTCATGGCTTTTTCCCTGGATTTTTGAGGGTCTTATTTATTTTCTCAGGCTAAGTTCCCACCTGGTGGGAAGCACTGTGCAGGTTCCTGGGGATGCAGCCCTGCACAGCCCAGACTGGACTCCTTCCCCATGGGGCTTACAACACACGGGAGAGGCAGAGAGATTCAAGCGCACAGAAAAACACATGAAGATTCAGCCCTGTCATCTTGTGCTAAGTGAGTTCCACATAATTCAATTATAAAATGAAAGATTGTGTTTCTGTGAGCTTCATAAAAATGAATTATTTCTCTGTCACAAAAAGTAAAGATAGTGCAAATGACACTGTGCATTGTAGTCCTTACACTGAATTGAGAACATCTCAAATGGTCCTGAGGCCACCACTTTCTGGACATTGCATCTCCTGTCCCAAGACACGAGCTAGGGCTTTGCCTCCTCTAGACCGGGACTGGGTGCTGGCTATGGGAACAGCATGTGCAAAGGCCTGGAGCCTCCTCTGTGTCTAGCCTGATGGGTGCCAGGTGCGGACGCCAGGACCACTAGCATCTCCTGGGCAGCCCCAGCACCCAGCCTGGTGTCAGCATATAGTAGGGCTCACGGGTATTTCTGGACTGAGGGAAGCTCTAAGGGGAGGTGCTTAGGGCCCAGGAGGCAGGGCTGGCCTGGGAAACATCACTGCACTCCTTCCTGGCAGCATCTTCTCTCTTGCCTTGGCAGATGTTCCAGGAAAGCTGGTCCACGCCCTTCCCGCAAGCCTTAAGATGGCTGCCTTTTGCCTGCATTTAAATGCAGCGTACCAAATGTCAGTTGGCCACTGACTCATAACCTTTCTGAGGCCATGCATGCCTTTGAAATGCTTGGGAGAGCACTTCTTACAGAAAATCCGTATACTGCACCCACCCAGTTAGATATGGAGTGTTCTGGGGTCCTCTCCGCTGGCCTGCCTGCGAGGCTGCCCCACTGTACAGCCCAGAGACCCTGGCTCCCACCCCACCTGGCCCCTCTCCCTCCAGACTCTCTGATGCCTGCTGCGTCAGGTGTCCCAGCCTGCCCTGGGAGATCTCCCGACCAGGCTCTGCCTCTCTCCTGTGCCCACAGCTGGGCCCAGGGACAGTAGACAGTCAGACCAGCCCCACCTGGTAACTCAGGCTCCTAGACCCCAAACCTGAGGGGCTGCCGTGATGGCGCCCCCAATAGCTCTCCCTGTCTCTCCCTGGCTCTTCCTCCTCTGAGAGGCCTGGGAAGGTTCAGAGGCTCCAGATGCTGGAACACTCGCCTCCCTGCAGAGGCTCAGCCAGCCCTGCTCTCCCCTTCTCTGTGATCCCTGTGGTGCTGCCCCGCTTGCTGGCTTCTAGTGTCACGAATGCCTCTGCTTTCACTCCGTCTCCCGTCTTTGCTTTCTAGTCTGCACTGATTGCGACATTTCCACCACTCTCTTGTTAGAACCCTGGACTCCCTTACCCCTCTGCCTTTGCTGCTCCTGCCTGGTGAACCCCTAGCCCTAGATGGCCCCAAGAGGGTGTCCTCCCCAGCAACCGGTCTGGCTGTTCTTCCTGTGCTTCCCTCCGCCTTCCCTGTGCTCCTACGTCACCTTTCCTCCCTCACTACCAGGCTGTCTTCCAGGCTGTCTTCCATTTCCCAGGGACTAAGGGAGGTGAGAGGGGCAGTGGCACTCTGAAAAAAGACCAGAGGCAGCAGGGGGTGGGGGGAGGAAGAGACTCTGAAAGTGAGCAGTACTCAGCCGTACCCAGCAGGACTCAGGGGCCTGGTCGTATCCGGCAGGACTCAGGGTGTCCAGCACACCCAGCAGGACTCAGGGCCCCTGGCTGTATCTGGCAGGTCTCAGGGTTCTCAGCCGCACCCGGCAGGACTCAGGGTTCTTGGCTGTACCCAGCAGGTCTCAGGGTTCTCGGCTGTATCCGGCAGGTCTCAGGGTGCCCAGGCATACCCAGCAGAACTCAGGGCACCCGGCCATACCCAGCAGCACTTTAGAAATACTCAGCAGTATTTAGGGTGCTCTAGTGTGGACTTTGTCCCCCCAGTGCCTTGGGCTGAATTGCGTCCTCACAAAATTCACATATTGAAGTCCCAACCCCCAGCCAGGACATCAGAATGTGATTGTACAGTTAACCCGTGAACAACAAGGGGTCAAGGGCACCAACCCCCTTGTAGTCAAGACTCACATATGACTTTTGACTCCCCCCAAACTTAACTGCTAATAGCCTACTGTCGCCTGGAAGCCTTACCAATGACAAACAGTTGATGAACACATATTATGTATGCTATATGCATTACGTACTGTATTCCTACAACAAAGTAAGCTAAAGAAAATGTTATTAAAAGAAACACAAAGAAGAGAAAATCTATGTATTAGTTATTGAGTGGAAGTAGATCCTCATCAAGGTCTCCATCCTCCCGTCTTTGTGCTGAGTAGGCTGCGGGACGGGGTGGGGGGTCCTGCTGTCTCAGAGGCAGAAGAAAAACCTCATGTAAGTGGACTCACAAAGTTCAAACACATGTTGTTCCATAATCTCCTGCGTTTGCAGATGGGGCCTTTACCGAGGTAATTAGGTTACCATGAGGCCATATGGGTGGACCCTAATCCAATAGGACCAGTGTTCTTATGAGAAGAGGAAATGAGGGCATAGATTTGCACAGAGGAAAGCCTGGGCGAAGGCGCAGGGGAAGGCGCTGTCTGCAAGGCAAGGAGAGAAGCCTCAGAAGAAACCAGCCGCGAGGACGCCTTGATGTCAGACTTACTTCCAGCCTCCAGAACTGTGAGGACATTTTTGCTGAGGCCTCCCAGTCAGTGGTGCTGCGAGCTGGAAGAAACCTTGGAGGACGTCTCATGATCCATCCACTTCTGTTTACTGATGGGGAGACGAGGCCAAGAGCGGGAGTGCAGGGCCACAAAAAGGGTCAAAGACAGTGCTCCCAGGCCAAGGCTGGCTTCTTAGCCTGGGGGACGCCAGGACCGAGGTGCTGGAACAAGAGAAGCTGGGGGAGAGAAAGGAGGGGTGCAGGTGACTGGATTGTAACTATGACATGGTCCACATCGCTCTTCCTCCTGCGTTACATTGGCTGTTCCAGAGCTGTAGCCTGAGGACTAGGCTTTATTGCTGAACACAGTCCTGTATCCAGACATTTTGTTCTGTTCATGCAGCCCAAAGCTGCACTTGGCTGCTGCTGAGCATGGGGTCAGCCAAGATCCCTCTGGATCTATGTGAAGCGAGCCTTGCACCCAAGAGCCCACGAGGCCCTCCTCATGGACCCGGCCGCGTGGCAGGAGCTGAGGGCAATTCTCAGACCTAGAATCCTCACTTGCCCTTTTCAGGCAAAGACAGAGAATTGATGGACATCTTGAGGCTCCGTCCTTCAGTGCTCTGCGAGCCCAGGCAGCTGTCAGGAAAGGGACAAGACCAGGGACTGGGGATGTGGAGGGAAGGGGCAGGTTTGAGGAGATCCTGGGTGATGAGAGAGGGACTCTCCAGGCTAGGGCATAGATGCTCTGGGTCCGCCTATCCCAGCCTCTTCACTGTCAGTGAAGCCATGTCCGCTGCCCATGACAGGGAGCCTGGCTGTTACCATCTTTTGGAAGTTGGACGCCTGCTAGTGGCAGTGGCTGGAGCAATGCTACCGCCTAGTGGCCTGATCTGCAAGTGCAGTCAATGGATGTGCCAGAGATCTCAGAGCTGCCCTCTGGGACCCCCACCCCACCTCTCCTGGGGTCACAGACTGCCTTTTGGTCAGCCTGTCTTAGTCTTGTCTGTAGCCACCTGTCAGCCTGCCTCCAGCTGTGTTTACCTCGGCATGTCCCTTCCGTTCTGGCTCACGTTAGCCACTGCTCTGTGGCGTATCTCTGTGGCGTATCCCTCTTACCCTGTCTGCCCTGCTGGCTTGGGCTGGCTGTTCCTCCGTGTCTCATTCCATCAGTTTCCGCCTCACCCTCTGCTGGGCCCTGGCTCTTTATTCTGCTCCTCACCTGTTTTAGACTTGCTTCTTGCCCCCCATACCCCATCCCTGTGTGCCCGAGTTGGGATCATGCCTGGGGTCATGTCTGCCCTCTTATTAACATTGAAGCTGGTTCTTGAAAAATACAGAGGCTTTTCTGCTTTTTCCAGGATGAGTCAGGAACTCCTGGAGTGAGCAGGGCTCAGGCCTCACCCAGCAGTGACCTCAGAGAGGGTGTGCAAGGTCAGAGGAGCCTCTGGCTGAGCTCAGCACTGTGACAAGAGACTTTCCAAAATGCTTAAGGGTCTGGCCGGGGCTAGGCATGCTCCAGCAGGTGTCAGGGAAGAAGAATGAGTGAGCTGGCTGAGTCGCCTGGCCCCACCTAATGTTGTCTCCTCCCTGAAGCCTCCCCTCCCTTCTGTGCTACCGCAGCTCTTAGGTCTGTGGCGTCCCATCCTGAAGCCACTGGTGCCATGTGATGGTTTGCATTTAAATTAATTAAAATGAAATGAAATGAAAGACTCAGTTTCTCAGTCACACTAGACACATTTCAGATGCGGAATGTTCACACATGGCTAGTGTCTATTGACCATATTGAGTAGCACAGAAGAGAACATTAGCCGCATCACGGAAAGTTCCATTAGTCAGCACTGTCTTAGAATAATCTTTGGAAAACCTCCCTTTCCTCTTATACTACCCTCAGGATAGGATCATGATGTGTCCATCTCAGGATCCCTAGGGTCCAGCATGTCAGGTTATATACATTTGTTGGCTGGTTGGCTAGATGGATATAAGGATGGATGGATGGATGGATGGATGGGTGAAGGGAGGGAGGGAGAGAGGGATGAGTATATGGGTGGGTAGATGGGTGGGTAGATAAATAGATGGATGATGGATGGATGGATGGCTGAATAGATGGATGATGGGTGGGTGGGTGGAAGGATGGGTAGGTAGAAGAATAGATGGATGAATGATGGATAATGGATGGATATATAGATGGATGGATACACAGGTGGATGGATGGGTGGGTGGGTGGATATATGGATGGATGGATGGGTGGGTGGGTGGGTGGATATTTGGATAAATGAATGGATAGATGGATGGATGGGTGGATGGATGGATGGATGGGTGGGTGGCTGGACATGTGGGTGAGTAGATGAATGGATGGATGGATGGATATAAGGATGGATGGATAGATGGAAGCTTGAATTCCTAAATTTCTATGCCATGGAAGTCCCAGGGGGACCCAGGAAGCGGGCAGAGTTGCCTCTGAACTGGCCAGGTGAGCTGGTTTGTGGAGATGTTGCTCTGCTCCAGGTTCTGCAAATGAACAGAGGGCCTTTGATGACCCTCAGCCTGAAAACTTGAACTTG